GTGCTCAACTATGTTCATAGCAGCTTTGTTTGTCATAGCCAGAACCTGGAAACAACCTAAATGCTCCTCAACCGAAGAATGGATAAGGAAAATGTGGTACATTTACACAATGGAGTACTACACAGCAGAAAAAAAATGACAGCTTGAATTTTGCAGGAAAACGAATGGAGCTAGAAAACTTTATTTTGAGTGAGGTAACCCAGACACAGCAAGACAATTATCATATGTACTCACTCATAGGTGGTTTTTAAACATAAAGCAAAGAAAGCCAGCCTACAAACCACAATCCCAGAGAACTTAGACAACAATGAGGACACTAAGGGAGACTTACATAGATCTAATCTACATGGGAAGTAGAAAGTAGAAAAAGACAAGATCTCCTGAGTAAATTGGAAGCATGGGGACCTTGGGGGAGGGGGGAGGTAGGGAGAGGAGCAGAGAAAAATGTAGAGCTCAATAAATATCAATAAAAAAAATCAAAAGAAAAAAAAAGAAGAGAAAGTGGGAAATACACTCGAATGCATTGGTACTGGAGAACACTTCCTAAATATAACCCCAGCAGCACAGACACTGAGAGAAACAATTAATAAATGGGATCTCCTGAAACTGAAGGCTTCTGTAAAGCAAAGGACACGGTCAACAAGACAAAACGACAGCTTACAGAATGGAAAAGATCTTCACTAACCCCACATCAGACAGAGGTGTTCTTGCACATTGTATGAGCTGCTTCATGGCTACATACGCTAGGGTACTGCTTATTTAGCCCTGTGAAAGTGGCACGTGTGAGAACACCCATCCTTGTGAACACACTTAAGTTCAAAGTGCACAGGGGAAGCATGTCACAGGCTACTGTTAGAGATATCTACTGTTATGCTTTTCCTAGACATAGCCCCGGTCCACGAAAACATCTTTTTGATGCGTTTGGAAGTTGGGAGCCCTGGGATAGCGGTCCTTCAGCCAGGCTCACCTGTATATCGGAATCCATGGATGAAGCCGCCAGCAGATTTCCGGTAGTCCACAGAGTGGCTGGCGGTCCCAAGGACAAAGAGACCCCGGCTTCCTTTGGATTCATAGCTAGCTCTGATCAGTGGGTACTTCTTGCTGAATTCAGTCCCTGAGGAGAGTCTGAGGGACCTGCCAGTGGAGAGGGTTGTTAGAAACAATAGTTTCTGTGGATAAGGCCCTTGCATCCTCCTCCCCTCTTGCAATGGCCTTCTGAAGCCTAGAGTCCCCAGGGAGGTCTGAAGGTGTTGGCCGGGGTTCCCTACCTCCGCCCCACTTGGACTCACTGGTTGAAAATGGAGAAGTCGAACTTCCAGCCCAGGCAGCGGATGACACGGTCATAGGCCACCCGCATGGCAAAGTTGTCATTGTCATCCTCGGGGAGGGGAAAGGAGTCCACACTCTGGCTGCTGTTGTTCTCCTCCAGGAAGAACTTGAGGGTGATGTGGAACTTGCCCTTGCTGTCCTTCACGAGGGCCAGGTACTCCAGGTCCGACTCCAGGAGTCCGTCTAGTGACTTCAGTTGGTAGGTGTCCAGCAGGCCATTGTTGATGGCTCTGGGGCCCCACGAGCAGGCAAGAGAGGAAAGAAAGCTCAGGAAGGTTGTCTAGTGCAGCTGAAGATGGGGAAGCTCCCTTGTTTGGGGCTTTCTAGGGTTTGAACCCAAGGGAAGCTCAATCCCCATAGAGGTAACGCTGGGAGGCGGTGAACTTTTCTCTTCTCCTTTTGTTCTTTTTGGTAAGTATAAGCTCCTATGTAGCCCAAGATGGCCTCAAATTCACTTAAGTAGCCAATAATGACTTTGAACTCTGACCTCCAACCTCCACCTCCTAAGTTCTGAGTTTGGACTACAGGTGTGTGTCACCACACCTTGGTTATGTGATCCTGAGGACTGAACCCAGGGATTTAGTCCATGGGAATCGAGCTCCCTACAACTGAGCTATATTCCCAGGCCCTGGTGGTAGATCCTTAAGAGGCAGAGCCCAGAGGCAGCTCACTGGGGTGAAGCCTTTGGAGAGATTAAGACAGTTCTGTTGGAATTCCCTGCTAGGTCCAGGTAGAGGGTTGCTATAGAGGAAGGGAACCCGACTTCCCGCTTGTTCTGGCTTCCTGTTTTGTTCTGCAACCTTCCTCTCTGGCATGTGTCCCTACTGCTGTGACACCATCTGCTATGGGGTAGACACTGGTGGTGAGTGCTTAGAGAGCCACATAAAATCATGAACCCCGCCTCAGGCATTTTCTTACAGTACAGACACACAGACTGGTACAGGATCTACAGCGTGGAACATACAAGCAGGGATGTAGCATACCTGACATCTCCAACATAGTGGGTGGCCCAGGAGAGCCGAACCCGGGAGCGGCTCAGCATGTGGACAAAGTTTGTGACACCCAAGATGTTCTCTGCTGTCTCGAAGGCTGAGTTCCCACGGCCCAGGATCAGCACATTCTGACCCACAAAGTCTTTTGGGTCCACGGATACGGACTCGTAACCTTCCACATGTTCCGAGCCAGGGAAGTCAACCAGTTTGGGGACTGACAAACCAGTGGCTACCAGCAGGACGCTGCAGGTGGGGGACAAAGAAAGACGACTCAGTTCTTCAGCTGTGCAGTCACACAGTGTGGCTTTCCTTGCCTCATCCTGATTCCAGGCTCCCAAAGACATGTCCACTCATCTGTTTACCCGCTTACTCCACATACTGACCCATCCTAGTGTGCCTCTCCCCAGGCTAGCTACAGTTCTTCATTGCCTTCCATACCTGGGATTAAGTTTGCTCATGGATATTATGAGAAACCAAAAACATTTCCTCTAACTGAACACAGCAGTGAGGTTACTCTCCCCACCCTGCCCCCTCCGGTAACCACTCCAGCCTGGCATTAAGACTTGCAGGCCAGGCCCACACATCTAGCCACACTGTGCTGGGTGTGGTATCCTATCACCTTATCTACTCCTGGATCTCGTACACTCTGTGGCTGGTGCCCCATTCCATTTCACAGGTGAGGAGACATAGTGTCCATGGGTCAGGGCAGCCAGAACTTTTCACAGTCTGAGCACAGAAGGGCCTGATTCCAAAGTCCTGCTCTTGAGATGTGGGCTTGATGTGTAGCCCGGGCTAGCCTGGGATCTGGCAACCGTCCTGTCTCCGTCTCCCAAATGCTGGGGTTACATGCATGTGTGCCATCATGCCTGGCTCTGTCCTTTACACTGCTGGGGATTATAGCGGAGTGGTGGCAGCTGGGTATCTGGATTTTGCTGGCTGCAGGACAGTTTGGATGCAGGGTAGTAGTTTCCATGTAGAGCTCACCCTCTGAAGGGACACATACAGGGGACAGGCTCTTGTTTCCTGACCCTTGGTTTCTCTGATCCTCACTCCCTTTTACTCTAGCAAGGCTACCTAAAAATCAAGAGTCCTAATCAGGACACCCCTCCGTATCCTCTGTGTTCCCCCCCCCCCTCTGGCTTCAGGAACAGATGAACAGTAGACACTTGTCTGGAGCCAGAATGAAACTGACAGCCAGGATGGGAGCCTGGAGTAGCAGAAAAAACACAGGCTTAGAGGTCAGCAAAATCTCAACCCAAAGGTAGCCCCACCATGTTAGTGACACAACGGGGTGACCAAGGTCACGGGAGCCCCAGATCTGCACCTGCCGGATGGGTTTTAGGGAACATTTGCTCTAGGTCCCTTGTGAGGATTGAATAAGTTTGAGGTGCCCACATAATGTCTCCCAAGCCAAAGCAAGACAATATCGGAGTCTGGAAGCCATGCTTGCTGGGCTTCTGCTCTCGTTCTGTCCTGAGATCCTTCTGGCCAGTGTCTGATGCTGGCTGGACACGTCACCCTTTTTTTTCTCACCATGGGTTTTGGGGATACTTATTTTAAGAAACTATCAGATGTGTCCAACCCATGGTTTCTAGGCCACATGGGGTCCACGCCAGCTATGAATGTGGCCCAACATAACTGGCAAGTTTATTTAAAACATCATGAGATTTGTGTATGGTGTGCATTTTGTAACTTGAATGCATGGTTTTTGAGCTTGAATCCTGAATGACGTAGTGTTGCACTGGCAAAAGGCTGGACCTGCCTGCAAGGGTTGTGGGTACAAGCTATGCAATATGTGCAGTACCCAGCATCAGAGTATCATAGAGAAGGTGATAAAGCCTGACAAATACTAGAGGATAAATTGCTAGAATTTTCCAAACATACTCAGCTACAGCTTTTTAGGGACATACCTTAAAAAGTGCTGGCTGTACCAAACCTCAGCACTGAGCCCCAGTGGGAGTAAGTGGTGGCCCTTTCTCCCACTCTTTCAGATTTCGAGGCCAATTCTGGGTGAGGTCCAGTTCCGGCAATAGGGTCCTTACCTGCACCGGTAAGCCTGGCCATTCTGGTCGGTCAGAATGAAGTAATGGCCGTTCCAGGCTTGTGGATCCTTGTCCAGAGTCACGTGGGTGATGTTTGTGTTGTATCGCACGTGGAGCCCCAAGTGCTTCGCGAAGTCACCCAGGTAGTGCACCATGTCGCTGGCGTCTGGGAAGTAAGCCTGCGAGTAGTGTCTGAAGAGCAGGTGTGGGTCGTCGCTGAGCAACGAGTTCCAGTCGTGACGGAGGTTGAACTCGGCGTTGGCCTTGCCCGTGTACCGCTTGTTGATGCTGATGAGCTTGCGGTGGCGCGGATAGCGCGTGAAGAAGCTGCCGGGCGCGGACTCGCGTTCGAACACCTCGTAGTCCCTGCCGGCCCGTTGCAGGAGGGCGGCCATCTGCAGCCCCGCGGGACCCGCGCCCAGCACGCAGTAGTCCCGGTGAGGACGGGAGCACACCGCCAGGTGCAGGCCTAGGGCCAGCAGCAAACCCGAGGGACCCATCCTGCAGCACAGCAGAGGGGAGGCCTCGCACCTTGTAGCTGGCAGCAGGAACCAGAAACCCGGGGCGTGCCTGAGCCTCCCAGGGACCTGGGTAGGAGCCACGACTGAGCCCTGGTACCTAGGGGGCTCATCTAACACGCCCCCATTCCCTCCAGATGGGATCAAGGGCCCATAAGAATCCTGAACTCCCACAGCTCATCTCCATAGTCTTCTTTCCCAGGGCTCCAGACTCCCTTATTGTCATGGTAGCTTCCACCCTAGCGGAGAGGCAGTTTCCCCAGTTTTCACGCATTTTGGATATGCCCTACATTTTAGGGGGGTCTCCCCAGGTAGGACCCTTCAGAGGCACATCTACCCTCCACCCTCGGGAGGGGGAACAACCTGAAGAAGGTGTGGCCTCTAAGGCCCCGCCCCAGCCCCCTAGATCACGAGAGGATGCCCCGGCACACCTGCCGCAGCCTCTGCGACTCCGCGCTCCTTCTGGCGCGTGCGCGGTACCCAGGCTGCGCTCCCGAGCCGCACGCCGCTGCCGGGTGGCCCAGCGATGCTCCGAAGGCTGCAGCGGAGGGAAGCTTCGGCTGGCTCGCGCCGAGGCGGCCACGCCCCTCCCCCGCCTGGCCAATGGCAGGGGGCGGGGTCACGTGCGCCACGCGCGGCACGCCGGGACTGGTGGGGTGGTCCCGGCCGGAGTGCGGGCACGTGCTGTGAGCGCTGCTCCTGAGGGTAGAGGAACCCGGAGGAACAGCAGGTCTATGATGGGACACCCGGCCCCTTCTTTTGATCTGTACTAATCCACATCTCAGAGTTGATTTTTGGAGAAAACCTTGGCATTTATATCCCTAGATTACTGTAGCCGAAGACTAAAACTAATTGGCTAGTCAGTTTTGTGGGACTGGTAAGAGCAATGGGACCAACCCAGATGACCAATTGTTTGCCACACAGAATTATCCAGTTGTCGGAGGTGGGCAAGGGAAGCAATTCCCAGCACCTTGTAACTGGCTTGTCAATACACGTTTAAAAGTGACGTTTGCGTAAGACAACATCTAAGTGGATTTTGAGACAGCATGGTGGCTCACCCTTGTAAGTATAAATGTCATGAGACTGAGGTAGGGGATTGCTCGATTGTGAGATCCTGCTTCAAAATCCTGAAACCCAAGCCTCAAATTGAAACCCAGTGCACAGGAAGAGAATGAGAGAAGAGGACTGTAATATTCAGGCCAGCCTCCTCGGGGTGAGTTACTTACCTGGTTAGGATACTGTGTGACTGCATGAAGAACAGAGACCTAGCTTCCCACGGTGACGCAAACTCAGTAACTTGTATGGCAGGAGCTGCTTCATATTAAGAGGGCAGTGTTTGTGAGTTCGAGGCCATCCTGGTCTACAAGCGCCAGGGCAGGCTCCAAAGCTACAGAGAAACAGTGCTTCTGGAGGCCTTGGGAATTCTGCCCACTTGGAATTTTTCATTTGCCCTTAGAAATTGACACTTTTGTGATTGTCCTGGTGAAAGCACACCCAGGAATGCAGCTGTTTTCTTTAAAGCCTGCACTAGAGCAAGAAAAGCCCCCTGGAGGTAGACACAGCTTTGTATGTTAGTCACTGTGGAGATCTCAGTCCACAGGCGCTTTAATCTAGAGCTGTCCTGGCTAGACAAGGCACCTCACCAAAAATAAGGCAGAACGTGCAGTTTCATAGCTGCTCTGGAGAGGATGGGTGGGCACCGGAGGGAACTAGAACCTGAAGGTTGATTTGGTGCCGGAAATGATGCTGGCCAAGACCCACCCCCAAGCCAGACTGAGGCCACAGAGAATTACAGTTCCCCACGACCAGGACACTGCTAGGGGAGCTTCTGACGAACACACAGGGACTCTAGCTGGTGGCTCAGGCCAAGCACACACCACTTTCTTTGCACCCCACATTAAAAACTTGTCGCCAGGGATGGTGCAAATGAGACTTCCCTGGGCTACAGCAAAACTTCTGGAAACTCCAAGCTTTCTGCTCTGCTTCCCAATGCCCTGAATGATAAAGCCCAACATCCTCTGCTAGATTCTTGAGGTTCAATCATGTTGATGTAGCCTGCATCTCCAGGAAGGCAATCCCAACCCCGAACCTGTTTCTTTATCTATATAGCTCTGCTTCCACCCACATTCCAGTTCCGAAGGGGCAGGTGAGGCATTCACAGAAAGCTTGGGGGCAATTACTAAAGCGATCCTAACAGCACTCACGGGGAAGTCATGCAGTTCCTATGTGACACATGGCTTTGTGCAGGCTGGTTTGAGACTCTTTCTCCAGCCCAAGCCAGCCTTGTAAACCATTAGAATTGCCACCAAGCAGACTTTGAAGCTGTCTTCTTCAAGAAGGGTTGGGTCACCTCCCCACCCCACCCTGCTCTTGGAGACAGTAAGCCATTGGGTCCTGAAGCAAAATGAGGCCTTCATCTTCCAGCACTGATGCAAACTAACGGAAGCCAGGAAGCTCCAGAAACTGCTGGTCCTGGTCTTCCTCTCCCAGGGGCTGCTGGGAGAAGGAAGACCTACAGATAACAATGGAAGCAGAGGACAAAGGAAAGAAACCAAACACTTATTCTTTATTCTATCTGCCTCAGAGAGCAGGAACCACAGACACGCTGCCCAGCTGGGTGGAACACACACGGGCACCAAGACGACTCATTTAAGTTTCTTCCTCTGAAAGAAAAAAACCGTTAAGAGAAGTGAGCCACACCATGTGATGCAGTGTCCTTCCTGCTGGACCTCTGAGGAACCTGAGTGTTGAAGGCCTCCTTTTTGCTGAGCCCTCCTGATCATTCTAGGGTCGAGCAATGTTCTGTAGCGACCAGTGAGGCTTTGCAGTCATGTAACTGACCCACGGCCTGCCTCCCCACAGCTGCCCAAGGCCTCCTCCAGATGTTCTCCTGAATCTCCTTTGGTGACTGGGAGTGCCAACCCACATGAAGTGCCAGGAAACTCTCAATGTGCTGCCAAGGTGAAATTGGCACTAGCTTGGCTCCCTCACCAACCCTCAGATCACCCAGGGTTCAAAGGCCTGCTCTGCCCACCTTCTTCCTCCTCCTCTTCCTCTTCCTCATCCTCTTCGTCCTCCTCGGAGCTGAAGGTGCCATCAGGCAAGCTGTAGACTCGGATGACCTGCTTGTTGGGGTCCTTGAGGATGAGGTACTTGCCCTCCTCCAGCTTCATGCAGATGTCAATGACACAGCGTAGGATGCCCCAGGCGTTCTCTACGCTCAGGTTGATCTGGCTGGCAAACTCATTGGGCTTAAACTGCTGGGTGCCCAGGATGACATGGCGTGAGGAGTCTTTTACATGGTACCGGGACACATACCTATGGGAGAGGAGGATGGATGCTCACACTGGGTAGAACAGAGATGGCAATGCCTGGGGTAAAGTGTCAGTACCATGTTAATGCCAGGCCTGTTGCTTTTCCCAGTGAGCAGCCTTTGCCCCAGCACTGGCACAAGAGTCTTACCCGAGCTTCAAGTACTCAGATCCAGCCAGCAGAGCACAGCAGGTCCAGCGGGCCAACTTGTAACTGTTGTTCTTCAGCTCAGTGGCGATGACAGCTCCACGCTGAGAGTCCAACTTCTGCCGCCAGTCAACGCCATTACAATGCTGCAGAAGGAAAGTTGGTTATTGGGTGAGGGGACACCCCCACACCAGGCCCCAGGGCCTCCTCTGGAAGACAGGGACCCACTAGGGAGCAAAGAATAAGCCTGAGTTAGAAGTAGACTGATTATCATTCAAGAGAGAAAGACACACCATCTTTGTATGTAGCCACTCAACCAGAGGGTGATGACAGACATGGTAAACCACAGTGACAAGGGGCTTCACACTGTGTCACAGTGAACATGCAGAGAAGGGAGGGTAGGATCTGAGGGACAAGTAAGTGGGAGAGCCTCTGGTGGGGCTGAGGGCAGGAGCCCAGCAAATGATGCTTAATATGTGAAGATATCCTGATGTGGGGAGTGGGGCAGTCCAAGGTCATAGGGCAGGGAGGTTCCCATTAAACTTTCTTGGTCCATTCCAAGATTCTGACAGGTTCTGTGTTTCCCTTGAAATTTGAAAACGTGAGCAGTAGGGCTGGAGAGATGGATCAGTGGTTAAGAGCATTGCCTGCTCTTCCAAAGGTCTTGAGTTCAATTCCCTGCAACCACATGGTGGCTCACAACCATCTGTAGTGAGGTCTGGTGCCCTCTTCTGACCTTCAGGCATACATATAGACAGAATATTGTATACATAATAAATAAATAAATAAATAAATAAATATTAAAAAAAAGAAAAGAAAACGTGAGCTGTAGAGATGGTTCAGCATTAAGAGCACTGCCTGCTGTAGATGTTCTGAGTTCTATTACCAGCAACCACATGGTGGCTCACAACCTTCTGTAATAAGATCTGGTGCCCTCTTCAGGCTTGCAGGTATACATGCAGGCATAGCACTATACATAATAAATATATAAATCTTTAAAAAACCAAACAAAAACCTGGAAACATTGCTATAGCCCCGAGAGAGCTCAATGACACTGAAGAGTCCTGCCACCATCCTGGGGAACAAAGAGCGCCTTATCAGATTCCCGAATGGAGTAAGATAATGGACTCTGGGGGAAGAAGTATCTGAGTGCTGACAAGGAACCTCTCAGCTCTCCACTACAAGGACCTGACTTCTGAACACCCAGAGTGAGCTTCAGGCAGACATTCTTCTGGAACACTCAGTTCTAGGGACGTCACTGCCACCAATGACCCCTGAACAGAGAATGAATCTACAATCTGCTGGATGTCTGCCCACAAACTCCAGTTGTAGGTGAGGTTCTTCCCATGTGTTTGGACATGGGAGATTTACCCTAAGGCTTTACTGGGGTCAGTGTCACTTGTGAGCGGGGCAGGGATGTTTCAGAACAGTACAAACACGAGGAAAGACAGATGCCACAGTAGAAGTCTAAGAGAAGGCCACTGGCCGCAGAAGAGAATGGCTCTCAGAGTCACATTTTGATGGCAGCTAACCATCACAGGCTGGCTCGACCCGAGTTGTCCTTACCAGCATTCTTTATTCTGTACAGATGCAACAGCCCTGCCCTTCACTCAACAGAGGGCCACAAATAAAGGCAGGGAGAAAGAATGACGCCCGACGTGACTGTCCTGGTGGACAATACAGAGGAAAGAGTGTGTGCACTAACGTTTTGTCCAGCTCCAGCTCTTAGAGCAGAGGTTCTCAACCTTCCTAACGCTGTGACCCTTAAATACAGTTCCTCATGCTGTGATGACCCCAACCACAAAATTACTACTTCACTATTATCACGATTTGTTATGCAGATACCTGATATATGACACCCCGCCCCCCCAAGGCACAGGTTGAGAACTGCCATCTTTTGAGGTAAGCAGTGACAGAGCTGGACAAAGGGATCACAGGATGGCAGTGAGGCTGAG